ACAATTTGTACAAGGAACTGGAAGCAAAATCTTTTTGTATAGAAAGAGAATTACCTAATGAAGTCTGAAGGACTTGAGTGAGCTTGCTGTTTCTGTATGGAATGTGAGCATTCTTCTGTGCCAAAGCTGAGATGACATCTCCTAAAGCAGACAATGACTTATTTATATGTTGTGCCTCTTTTAGTCTATCTCCCGTCACCTCAGAGCGGTCTACCCTTTCACTTCCAGCAAGATCCACCAAATGAAGGCTACTATGCATAGATGAACCACTCTTTATATCCTTCCCGTGAACATGGATAGTCACGATGCTGGACATATATTGCAATAAAAGTTAAAGACCTATCAAAATTTAAAAGAGAAAAACATGTAGTTTAAAAATTGAAATCCAGAGATGATTTCTTTGCTTCGAACCTGTGTGATCGACTACTTCTTTCATTCATGGCTGTGGAACCTTTTGCTCGATTTCTCAATCCCGTATCCATCAAGTCTAAGACATCAGAGGTTCCATTGACCGGGAACATGCTTGCTTCTGGGACAGCTAACCCATTGGGTTGAGAGGTAGATAAAATCCCAAGTGTGCGCAAATCAAGGAAAACAGTTGCAGATGCATGATATATTGCAAACAACAACAACAACAACAACAAACCTAGTGTAATCCCACAGGTGAGGTCTGGGGAGGGTAACGTGTACACAGACCTTACCCCTACCTTGTTAAGGCAGAGAGGCTGTTTCCGATAGACCCTCGGCTCAAGGATCAAACATCATATTGATATTTTGTAATTATTTGAAATTGTAAGAAATGCAGCATGGGAGAAAAGGAAGGGATAAATAAAACATTTTGGTAGAATGTTTCCAAATTGATAAATTGTTTAATGTAGAAAGGGAGCAAAGTGGATGCAATGCCAGGAAAGGTGAAACAATCGAAATTTAGTAAAGGATATCTTTTTTGAGAACCATCACTTGACAGTAAGTCACGAACTTGTTCATTATATATTTCCATCATTTGAACTTTGATCTCATACTTGAAAGTGCTCTCTCTCATTTGAGAAATTCTGAAAAGATCATTCAAAGCTCGATAATTGACTCCCCAATCCTCCTCGCTTGCTCCTTCAGGGCCAGTCTGGAGGTTAATTTAACTAGACTTCAGCAATGTTAAACGATGTGTAAACATATTTACCAAATTTATATAGCACGGAATTCTTACCATGGTATACGTTTTCCCTGAGCCAGTCTGACCATAGGCGAATATGCATACATTAAAACCATCAAGTACAGACTGTATTAAGGGCTGAATATCTGAATACACTTGAGCTGCAAAGGTAGAAATTGTGAAATTCATTTTATTATTCATTACATGGAACATAATTTTACAGAATATGTATATAGGAACTTTGATCTGGCATAATTTGGAGGAATCTGAAAAACCTTGTATTGCAGTTGGACTGTAGACCGTATTAAACTTGAAGGACCTACGGCCTTCTTTTCCTTGTTTCGAAGGATTTACAACAACTAGCTCCCCATTTTCTCCGATGTATTCAACCACTGTCTGGTTTTCCTTTTGTCCACGAAGGAATGGCCTTATCCGACAATACACTCTAATATTTCCTAATTTGAAAAGTATTCATAAGTAACAGCAAAAGGAGAGAAATCTCCGGGTCTCTTAGTTCTAAAATTTCATAATATAACAATACCTTTTAACTCCTGGACCTCATTGTGTAGTTTGCGATTCTCAGCAAGGACGGCAGAGTAGTTTGCAGCAGCATGGTCTAGTGCTCTAAATTTTGCACCTATCATAAAATTCCACTTCATAAGAAAAATCCAACTAAATCACTTAACAGTAAAATCTGTGTTGACATCTTCTACCTATATACTTCCAGTAAATGTTATTCATACATCACTAACCTAATTGATTGAATTCCTCTGCATAGTTCCTTTGTGTTTTCACTACTTCTTGCTTTATTGACTGAGAGGCAAACCTCAGCTCCTGAATGTTTATGGAGATCCAGATCAGATGTGATAGACAATGAATTATGTTAGAAAAAATTAAGAGAAAAAAAAATCAAAGCATACACGTAGTGCGCCAAGCTGGAATTCTGTGAATATTTGGTAAACATTCTCCTTCTTGCTCCACCTCTGTGATTTTGATTCAGAAAACATCTCGATTTCTTTCACTCTGTTTGTTGATTCTTTTAAAAGGCTCTCAACCTCTTTCAACCTCTCCTCAAGCTTTTGTTGAGCTTCTCTGGCCTCTTTTTCCATTTCTACGCTGCGTTGTTCATATGTTCTCTTAGCTATTTCCATTTCTTGTTTTAAAGCTGCAATCTCTTGACTATGATCATCCTTCTCCTTCATCAATCTAACCACATCCTGATCCTCATTTTTCTTTTCCTCCTCCATTTTGATTTTTACATTCTGTAATATGATTTCAATTCAAAAAGGGATGGCAAACATTAAAATCGTGGGAAAGAATCAATAAGCTGAAATATACTCGCAGAATATAGACATCAGATCCTTTTCAATAAGTAGCAAGTTTCATTTAACACAAGTGATGATCAATTGTAGGCAGGTTAGCATATAATAATAGAGAAGATAATGTTTTGATGTAAAGAAGTAATGACAATGCTTCACTCTCAATGCTACTGCTTCAAACAAGCAAAAACCTCGGATGCTAGAAAGTATAGGTATTTATCTTCAAAAGATCAGATAGATAAATCATATTAAGAGTTAAAACCTACAAATTTACAGGAAACAAAAGGATAGAATGCATATATACAGCTAAATATACTGATCATTGCCAAACAATGCGGCAGATGAAGCCAGGTGGTGAACTACCTTAATCTGCTGAAGCTGGTTCATTACAATCTGAAACGAAAAAATTGTGTGAGCGAAAGGTGCATAAACTCTTTAAGAAGTAAAATATTCCAGACTTCGAAAAAAATTCACAGAAAGTGAAGTCCACAGCACCTGTGTCTCTTCACTAGTCCCAGTTGCAAGGGCTTCCAGGACTCTTATCCGTGACTGGTATTTCTCCTCACGAGTTTTGAATAGATTGTTTTGCTACAGAGAGTAAATTGACATGAGCCAGGTTCATTATAAAGAGAATTTGGGGGAAAAAGTAAAAACAGCTATGCTGCATTATACCGTTCTAAGATGTTCAGCTTGAGTAGAGATTCGCCGCTCAATTTCTTGCACGACCTTTCTCAACAAGCATGCTACACGCTGACAGAGTTAAACAACTAAAGGTTAGGCCATGATTTTTGTGAAGCATTTGTAGAAAAGAACATAATCTCTGCATGAATATCTATATCTATTATGTGCGCACGTGAGGTATCTCGCCATTCTTCCGCTCAATGCTTTCATCAAGAATCCCATTCACAACACTGAGAAGAGACTGCGTGGGGGCAATCTGGGTGCAACAAAAATAGGTTGGAATAAGTATGAAATCAAAACTTCAGATGCAAACTTTATTCGAAGCTTCATTGACAAAAAGGTTATGTTACTAACATCCAAACTGTTAGATTTCATCATTTCGGAAATCTTTGAAGGCGGAAGATCAGCATAACCCCCTTGTTTAAGCTGAAATACTTCATGGAATTTATGTCCAACGTGATGTAACAATGCAGCTGATGGCTCTAGACAGTTCAAAAAAGAGAAGTCAACAATCAAAGAAAGAGATATCGTTGATTAGGGGAGGGATGAAGGTTAAGGGATGAGAACTAATCAACCAAACCTGCCATTACAGGACTTCTCAAAGCCCGCTGGAATTTTGAATCTGATCCTATCTTTCGTTTCCCGTCTGTTGAGGATGGGGAAGAATGAGTACTTGACAATTCCTGTCTGTAAGCTACATCAGCACATCCAAAAGCTTCTCCCAACTGTTTACATCTTGTACTTGCATCAGTACTAGATTTACGAGATAATGGCGTGTTAAAACCATCTCCTCCAACATTCGGCATAAATTCTGCTCGAAGTGTTAAAAGGCATTCTAGAACAAGTTTCATGGATCCCTGGATGATGTATCAGATTAAATATATCAAAAGCAGAAAAAAGATGCGTGATTGTGCCTAACGGTACCGAAAGTAACACTTTTCTGCATGTAAGAACATATACAACTCAATGGCCTGTGAATTAATGCATACAGCAATTTTGTACAATGATAAGCATATTTAAAATGATATAAACGTATTAGAAACACAAGAGCATAACTTTAAATTAGTGTTAACCTTTTCTAGATCTGATGCTTGAAACCTGTGAAGGCCCATTTCATCCATAGCTGCCAAAAACCTTTTTATATTTTCTGAGCCTAACCCCGAAGAATGACCTAAACCACCAAACTAGAATGAAAAATACGGTTAGTCATATCATCAAAACAAAACCACCCCTAGCTTCTACTTACTGTAAAATACAATATATTACTACTACCTCTGGTATGGAACCTGGTTTCAACTTGTTCAATAATTGACACAAGATAGTACCATCGACTAAGTACGTTCTTAACTCCTCATCAGAAGCATTTATTGGCAAACTTAAGTAAGGAAGAAGACTGTTTATCCACTCTACCAAAATTGCCTGTTGCTTAGCTGTAGAGATAACAAAGGGCAGTCAAAGAGAAAATCAGCCCAAGCAAGAGTTTGATCAGCAAATACATGGTATTAAATGTGTTGCACCTTCAGCCTCACCATTACTACTTGACAAAGGCTCAAAGATGTCCCCACTAGTGGACGCACTTGAGTTATTCCGTCTACCACAGTCTTTAGCTACGCGATCCAGTATTGAATTCATGATGGTAACTAGAGTACGGTCTTCAATTCAGAGAACATCTGAACCACATAGAAAGCAGATATGCTGAAATGAATATATCCCTGACCTCCATAAATCATAAAGAGAGAAAACATTTTGTCTAAAAGATTGTCTCAACAACAGAAGTAGTTTGCAAGTTCACTATCCACAATTATCAGAAGTTTGAAGTTAATAAACAATTATCAGACAGTTTATCTCTTGGTAATTTGAACTAAAGGAAATTCCAAATTAAATCTCGCCACGACCAGTACGATTAACATCACAAGCAATAAAAAGAGTAACCATCCATTTTTCCATATGCACTTCAAACAGCACATAACATTGGCAGTGAGGAAAGTAAAATCAAATAACTTTGTTGCTAAGCAGCAATATATTTGTTCTGTTTCCTTTTGTACATTTATTCACTTGCTCTAACCAACCGAAATTCTAATTNGGGGGGGGGGGGGGGGAGTTGCATCTTTTTTTCTTGCTAACCATGATGTCTGGGCCAACTTGCGCACACATCGACTAATTCTAGTACCTGCTACCTCACACTGGCATAAGTACCGAGTAATTCTGTCCACTAAGGCTTATACATACTCATACGGTCTTTTAGTCTTAAAATTACTAGTTTTAGTGTACAGGGTGTGAATTGATCAAGACAATGTATCATTCAAAAAGAAATTGGAAAAAAACAAAAGAGCAAGAAAAGAAGGTAAGAAATTAGAGAAGCAACCACCATCTGCCTTCTATATGGAACAGCAATGACACCAATAATGAGAAACCAACTAGACTTTCAGAAGGAATATGATCACCAAGATTAAGAATATGAAAGAGACACACTTCAGAATAAGGTGGCAAATGGCAATTACGCATGCAAATTAAGGCCATCAACCATTGTAATGCAACTCAGTCAACCTATTGGATAAGAAGAATTTGCCCAAAATTCATGATAGAAAGAACCCTTGTTCAATTTTCAAGCTTTAATTAAACCATAACTCAATCTTGAAATATTCTTCGTTATACAAGAATCAACTCTATATATGAATAATGATCACATGCAAATTCAAGAACAGAAAAATACATGAAGAAGAACATGAAAATACATACCCGTCAACGACAAAAGTTGAGAATTTCGCCAAAACAAAAACGGAGGAAGAAGCTGTATAGATATGGAAAGGCATAAAGTGAGCACGTTCTTTAGAGAAGACTAATGACAATGATTATTTAATTATTTGTCATTATTATTATTATTAGCAGTTATGAAAATGGAAGGAAATTGTTTAGAATTCGTTAGGTGTTGGAAGTGTCTCTTGCTTTTCAGTTAGTCTCCTATTCCGTGTACCGTTGTGTCTCCTCTGCGCAACTGAGCGCGTTCCGTTAACTTAGGAGATCTCTTAGCTCAGGTGTCCTTTCTTTTTCTCTTTCTCAGAAAATAAAATTTAAAATTTAAAATTTAAAAAGAAATTAAATTTGTCTATACTTTGCCTCGTGTCAACTTGGAAATTTTTTTCTCTCTTTTTCTTCTTTTCCTGTTATTATATTGTTTAATTTATTGGCAAAAATGTTAGTGCTTTTACCATTTAAAAGAGAGGGACACTGATATTATATTTTATTGTACTAGTTGATTGACCATGAGGAAGAGCTTTAATTTTTTGCTTCATCACATATTTTCAGTATTTCTTAAAAAAAAAAATTTATTATATACAAGAACAACAAACTCAATAAATTCCCACTTTCTTTTTATTAAATGAAGTTTATATTTATGGTACCTTTTTGTAGTTTTATAGATGCATTTATTTTATAAACATTTTAAAATATTGTTCAAATTTCACACCAAAACTTAGTTGCGTTGAACCTTGTACTCCAAATTTTTTCTTTCTTTTTGGGACCAAGGATTTACTTTAGAATGAGCAGTCTTCGGGAAATTTTAATAAATCTGTAAAGGAAAAATGTGTCTAAGAAGTTTTTTGTAATATCCAGAAATACAGCATTTACTTTTTGATTTCTACAAGGGAAAAGGGCCAAATATACCCCCTCTACTTTCATATATTGTCTATATTTAACATCTGTTATACTATCGGGCCAAATTTACCCATACCATTATACTATCGGATCAAATTTACCCCTACAATCAGCATACTTTTAAAACTACCACTCTACCATTTTAATTGAATATGAAGTGCCTCAAGACTAATTTTTCACTATAAAATTAGCTTGAAGAAAATAAAGTGTTAAAAAAACATTATGCAACTGGGAGCAGCTCAGTTTTGCTTTTTCGCCGTTTGTTCCTCCATATTTTCTAAATGAAAATTGTGAAATTTTGAAAGAATTGCAAAGTGATTCTCATTTAGTAGTGTGGACTGTGCAACTTGGAAAGGCAAACTCTAAGCTAACCTTCTAAATTTGTCAATTTATTTGGCGCCGGTAATTATTACCGACAACTCTATCCATCAACACTTAAACATATGATTAGAAATCAACAAATTTTGATATTTATTTTTGTTTTTTTTTCTTTGCCCAAGGAACACAAGTTTTTTATAAATATGCAAGGAAGTTTCCTACCTATAAGGTTTTCTCAGATTTTCAGTCTTCATTGTCATGCTGGGTTTGATAAATTGCTCACCTACTCTCACTTTTGGACAACTATCGTGTGTGTGTATATATATCTATATGCACCAAGTCAAGTTCGAAATTTCTATTGCTTCGGACGTGTTAACGTTTTCAATAAGGAAAAGTTGCTGTATAAAATTATCCAACTCTACAAAAAGTGCAAATCATTCTCCGCGTTTTCTTTTTGTATTCAGTGACTTCCATTTCATATACTGATATACTGCTTCAACCTTTGAAAAAGACTCAGTTCATACTAAGAGAAGTCAAAAGTCACGTTCTTTTTAATGTTTAAAGAAAAGATCAACTCCCTTAGATCATGGAGAAGCGTTGGATTCACAACAAAGCTTCGTTGCGTATGAAATTTAATATGATTAAGAAAAAAGATAAAGAAACAAGGTTGCAACAAAATCCAGGGTAAGGTTCAAATCTACAAAATCTTCCATTTGCGCTCCACAGCATTCGCGACCATGGATATGCAGTACGCAGCACTCAATGGATAATCGGAAACTGCAAGATACATTAGATGATTCGACAAGGCTTAGCCCCATAAAAATGCAATAATTTACCGTAATGATAGTTTTCCTTTAGAGAAAACAGCATGGACATAGTTTAGCAGTTACATAACAACTGTTACGCGGCGCCTTCCTGAAGTTCCTTGGAAGGGCGACGTAAGGCTAAGCAACCGATGTCAGTACGGTTGCTGTCCGCCAACTGAGGTCCCCTCCATACGCTAGACTAGATTGTCAGTGCCGTACGGAAAAACCAATGTCATGAGCAATTGAAAGAGAGCAGAAAAGAGAATTGAGAATGAAAGAAAGCTTGATTGCATTGAATGAAAGCTATTACAGAAAACAAGACGGTGTCGGGGGGGAGAGACACCAGTACAGAGAATTGTTTGCTTGCTTGAAAGTTTTGATTGCTTGGTCCCCTTAATAATGCTTAAAAAAAATAAACCAAAGTTACATGACTAGATCTATGAAAACTGGAAAATCACACTTAAAGAAAATGCAGCAAAACTACTCTATATTTACAATGAAAAGGACTTAGTCTTCTACAAAGCAGCAACAAGTCCGTTGGCAGCAACTTTGTCTTTAGCATCAGGGTCTGCGCGCGCGGCATTGTCTACGCGCGCGGCGTTGTTGGCATCTGCCTGTGACTGGGCGCTGGCGATGGCTATCGGTGGGGCGATAGAGGCACATGCGTGCTTGTCACTTGGAGCTGCCGAGACCACGGGGCCGACCATGGCGACGGGCGTTGGGAGGCTGGCCAGGACGTCACGGGGCGCGTCCAAGGAGTCATGGGGCATGGTTGGAAAGCCGCCCATGACACAACATATGCATGCATTCTTGACCTCTTAAAGAAGCTAAGGTCGGATTTACAGAGGATAGAAAAAAAGGTGACTAGGTTCTAACTCGTAAGACTTTCATATTTGACATCGGGGGTTAGAAGCATCAAGTATGTTAAGGTGCAGTTTGGAACCCCTATTGCTTCCACATTGACAAGCGGATACTGAAACAAACAACTCATAGGGAGAAAACATTTCTCTCTCGCCGTGTTTTAACATTCTAACCAATATCTACAGCAGCGATAACCTATTTGATTTTTATTTGCCAAAGTCATAAGTGGCTCTTGATTAGTACTTCTAACATTCAGGAGATCAATAACATTCTAGTGTCACAAATTGAACATACAAAGACACAAGCAACAGATGTTCGCATTGCTAAGCATTAAAGACTAACCATGCATAACAAAGACGGGCAGAAATATCAAACTATAGCACTCTAATTAGTATTGATGAAAAATAAAAAAGAAAAGAGGAACAATTAGCTTACATGATAAATAATCTTCGACATAATCTTTTTCAATTTTTCCATGGGCCATTGCCCTGACCTGTAGATGTCAGATACTTATCCAGTAAACTACAAATTCCCACAAAATCAAACTTCTATGGAAAATTACACCAGAACATACCACAAAAACAAGGTTCATGTCATTGTTAATTCCATTAATGTAGTCTTGAATATCCACCAGTTTCTCAGAACTATGTGAGAAGCCTGAAGCACAAGAGGAGAAGTGGAAGAATTAATCAATTTTCAAGGACATTCTATTACAGAAGGGAGGAACTACAACAGAAACTTATTCACCTATCTTCCGACAGTCAATGTGTAGGTACTGAGAGACAGGGTTTTTTATAACACGTAACAGTTTCTCTCGCTTACCAACAGCAGTTATGCTCAGCTTTTGTCGCAGCTGCACTGAATTTGAACCAACATCAGATAACAGCAGAATTTGCATGAAAAGAGAAGGGGAAGAAACATTTCTCAAGGTAATTTAACTTACACATGATACCAGCGAATCGCTTAAATGTCCCGGGGATACGAACATGAGGTTTTACTTCAAATAGGACACCTTTTTCAGTCTTCACATACAACGCTTTTAATCGTCCAGCTTTATTTACTCGGCTATCTAATATTGTAAGCATTGCCTGAGGGAGGAAAAAAAAGATATCATAGAAACATTCTAGAAAAAGACATATGAGTATTTTAACTAATTACATAGCCTCGTAAAGCAATCATGAAACTTACTGCAATAAAAAATTGCAAATAAAGTTAGTGAATACCAATTCCTTTCTTTCACTTGCTGTGCAAGGAATTACAACTTATTTTGCTAATTTACCAGACTGAATATGGAAGGACACAGTTAATATCAACAACAACAACGACCCACTGAAATCCCTCTAGTGAGGTCTGGGGAGGTTAGTATGTACGCAGACTTTACCCTTACCCCGAGGGGTAGAGAGATTGTTTCCGAAAGAACCTCGTCTCAAGAAGACGAAAAGAGGCAATACGCCAGTACCATCAATAAAAACCATGAAACAAATAACCTAAATTGCGCGGACTCTTCGATTTTGGTGCCGTTCCCGTCCGGATACGGGACGGATACAGATACGGGGACGGGATACGTCCCGGATACGGTCGACTGACTTCGGACACTTTTTTTTGGTTAATCTTTTATTTTGTCAATTCTCATAAATCTAATGGACATAGTTTGTATATTTGATTAAAATCAAAAGTGCTCACTTTTGACAAACTTAGAGCCTTAGAGGATTAAGATAGCAAGGAGCACAAGGCATCTCGCATTGACATAGCGTCCGGAAAAAAGATCACACTCAAAGGATCAAAGTTACAAAAAATTATTCAAATTTTTTAACAAAGCTGTTTTTGCTTTGTGCCAGCAATCTTATTTTTGCCCATGGTAACAATGCATTTTAACATTTGGTTACTGCCTGCATTATCTAATTCAAGCTTTTTAAAAAGTTGAACAAGGAAAAGATATGGAAGCCGAAAGAACATCCAAAATAAAGGTACTGTCAAAGGGGCCCAATTAATGGCTCAAGTAGGCGAAGTGTGATCTGATTTGACCCAAGCCCAAATGATTCAACCCAAATTCTCACACAGCTCCATTATACTTGATCAGCATAGAAGAAAAGCAGCAGAGGAGAAGAGAAAATGGGGAGGAAGAAGGGAGTCCAGTTCGATGAAGGAGCTCCGGATGACTTCGACCCGAATAATCCTTATAAGGACCCGGTGGCTTTCTTCGAGATGAGGGAGCATTTAGAGAGGGAAAATGGGTCGACATTGAAAAGGCGAAGATACTCCGTGAAAAGCTGCGTTGGTGTTACCGTATAGAGGGTTAGAACACTATTTCCTTCTGCCTGAGTCTTGGTGTGCCCGAACACCACCGTCATTAAAAAAAAAAAAAACTTTAATGATTAAAAAGACTAATTATTTACCAGTATTTAGGTACAGCTGATTGATTGTGAATGTTGTTTTATTTACTGCAATTGCAGGTCCAAAGGTTGAAGCTTTGGGATTGGAATGATCATTTTCTTTGGTCCAATTTCTCAGGTACTTTTCTCTCCTCATTCCGTTTTTACTGGATTGGAACTGTCTTCTTGTGTCTCTGATTCGATGATACATTTGTTTTGGTTGTGGGGTGGGAGGGGGGTGGGGCCGGAGTTAGTGAGATACCCAAAGTTATTATTCTGCTTTGTTGTGTTTTGTAAATCATACATAATGCTTGAAAATGTGAGGTTTTTGAATTTTCCGAAATGTTGTAATGGACCTGAATTGAGCAGAATGAGGGAAAGAGGATTTATATAAAATATTAAAACTAATTGGGGATTGAGGCGAAGTTGGTTGAGTTACAGAATTCTGGATAACCTCTTTACCTCTCTTAATCTTCCTCTTCATTATCCAGCTACTAGATTGCAGTCTCTTTTATAGCTCTTCCATCTATTAAAACCCTAACGTTTTCTTAACGTCTTTCATACATTTTTCTGAAAATTTCAAGCCAAATCATATTTGAACCTAAATCATTCATATTATTTTGATAATATGCCCGTATGAGTTTTTGCGCACCTCGACTAATCCACCGAGAAGCCGCTACTTTCTACTATCGTAGGTACTAGGTAACTCTAATCATAAAGATGGCCTACAAGTCTTAGGCAAATGAAGGATTCACCTATTGTNAGGGGTGGGTGGTGGGGGTTGTTTTAACATCCATGTGTTGTAGTGCAATACTAGTTTTAGTTTACTGCTTCAATGACTCAACACATTTAACTATATCTACTGAAAATTAAAAATGATGTCAGCTACATCACACAAAAAGGTTCACTGATTTGGCCTTCAAAGTTTCACTTCAATCCCCCTTCTGTTGCTAATGTTCCTTCTAAATGCATCAAAATCTTTTCATGCACATTGGTATCTTACACTCCAAAGTTTAACCACGTTGCATGAGTTTCCCTTTTCCGCATCCACCTTTACTCTTTAGGGTGCCAAAGCTTGAATTAACTAAATCTATATACGCTCATGCTAGTTGCTTACCCTTTTTAGCTAAGCTGTATCTTGTTGAGTGAGACTAAAAAATAGAAAGTTCAGGGGCTACCCTTCTTAGTGATTCTTGATTTGTCTTCAAGGGACCCCTTACAAGTTTCCAAGGGGTTGAGTAGGGGTCTATTTGAAAGCTTACAAATTAAAAAGATTAGAGAAAGGATTTTGTAGGAGGTTAGTGGGGATATATAGTGAGAAAGAATGAGGAATCACAAAAGATGATGAGGTTACAACAACAACAACAAAATTTATTTTCTGTTGATTCGATCAGAGGACTAATAACTATTAGCTCGTTTCAAGCATATTGAAGGTTAAACTATGGATGAGAATTATACAAAAAATTGAACTTGATCGATGCCATATGGAAAAGAAATAACTATGCTATAACTTGAGGAACAAAATTGTTAATTACCCTTAGGAAATATGGATGAGAATTATAACAGCTTTCCGGTTCTGATCCCTCCCATACCACTTTCACGCTATCTCTAGGTTCATTACCACAGATTCTTTTACCTCCATTCAGAAAGAAATGAATGTACCAAAAGAATCTCATCCTTACAATTTCCACCGCTGCCTTTTATAATTAGCCGGACAGTTGAAAGAGCAATCTCTGGCTGAAACTTGCAGGTTATGGTGCATCATAGGAGATGACAAATGTCAGCAAAAGAATTCAAATAGGATTGCTGATTGAGGCTATCTGATTTCAAATGACACTTTAGGATGGAAAAGTAAGATTCTTTGGTCTCTCATGTAATTATAGACAATCATATGGATAAAATTGTGTTTAGTCTGCTTATATGAGTTTCACAAAGTATAGCTAGGAATGAGTTGTGTGGTAGGTTGATGGCCAGCATGGAAAATACTCTAATTATGATGAATTATGTGTATACTAAATGAGCTGTATAGATACTAATTTATTTACCTTAATTAATTGATAGAATGGTCTAATGCACTGTTTTGACAAGTTGGTGAGAGATTCTGCAAAAATTGATTATGTTAAATCTGTTGATTCGGTAGTAAAATTTTAACAGGAATATTCGCAAGTTGGATTGTCACGAATTCCTTGAGCTGTAAAACGCTCGTCTTATTTGACTAATTCCGCTGAAGCTAAATCATGCAGTTGCCTGCGTTGCCACACCTCGTATATATATATATCCTTGTTTGGTTGTTTCCAGTCAATTTTTCTGCAAATTCTAATTTGCAATGTATCCTTGTTTTGCTGAGCTGTTCGAAGCTTACTCACCCTCTTCCCATATCCTCCCGAGAATACATGGATTGAGATGTGTTTCCTTTCCACATGTGATTCTCTTTCCAGTTAGAAGTATAAAGTGGATGGATTACCAACTGATCGGCCTCATTCTTTTGCTATTTTTGGTCATTTGCTCCACTAAGAAATAAGACCTGTTTTGTGATAAAAGTGTAAATGTAAAGATGACAATGCATCCACGCATATTGCATGTACCTTTATTTTAAATGTAGCTGCAATATTAAGAGAGCTAAAATATCGATTTCACGAAGATGGAACAAAATTTAAGGGAACTTATATGTTAAAACCATTTTATATATTTCACTCCTGTAAAAATTATAAAACGAAGTTATTAGCCTGTTTGGTCAAAACTTCTAAAATCAGCTTATTTGGAGAAGTGTCAAAAGTGCTTTTCTAAAAATATTTTTTTGGTGAGAATCAATTTGTGTTTAGCTAATTATTTTAAAAAATCTTTTGAGTTGTAATTAGTATTTGACCAAGCTTTTCAAAAATATTTTTAAGTGTATTTTTCTCAAAAGTGCTTGTTTTTTGGGATAAATTATTTTTTGCTGCTTCTCAAAAACGATTTCTCCTTCTACTCAAAAGTACTTTTTCCCTCCTAAAAGCTTGGTCAAACATCTATACTTTAGAAAAAACAAGCACTTTTGGCCAAAAAGAAGCTTGGGTGAACAAGCTAGTAAATAGATAACGTGTTTGTCGCAAAGCCTCTTTCCTCCTAAGCTATTAGATATACGTGATGGGAGGTTGTGAAGGTCGATAATTAGGGTTGTAGGTTAGTAGGTAGTCGAGCGTACTTCCTTTCTTTTCCTTACAAGTAGTTTTAGTGTTAGTCTAGTTTTTTCTTGTTCTTAGACTACTATTACTATCTGTTGTTGCTTCTGCGTCTGTTTTTGTTCCTATCTAGCTGTTGTTATTACTTTTTGTCATGACTTTACTGCTGTATTTCTTTTCTTTACTGTTGTATTGATATTTGACTTGAGCCGAAGGTTTATCGGAAACAGCCTCTCTATTTGCACAAAGTAAGAGTAAAGTCTGTGGAATCTATCCTCCCCAAATTACACGTGTGAGAATACACTCGATATATTGCTGTTACCTAATATTATGTCAATCTCTTTTAGTTGTTGACGTGATATTTTGAATGGCCTACGTTTTACTTAATTAAAGCCTGTCTTTAACTCTTTCCAAACGATATCAATCCTATTAAAGTAGTGGTAATTGCTTCTTCTCATCGGTTCCTAGTAACCATTTATTAAGATTTGACACTGTAAACTTCAAGAAAACAAAGCTCAATTAGCGTTTGGCTTCTTACGAATTAAACTATTCATTAAACTAGGAATTAAAGTCTATTCCTTCACCTAATTATACTGTTGTTATTCAGACTTTGACAGGTTGGGTGTTACCACCAAATAGATGAAAGCGAGAGGCTGGAATTCAATTCGTAATGCGTTATGTTGAACCCCTCAAAGTTTTAAGGCAGCTTTTGCTCTATGATCTAGTGGCAGTGCCGTAGTGGTTGAGATTTTTCTATCTTTAATTAGATATTTCGAATTTAAACTTTTAAATAAAGATTTTTCCGGTGGATAATTTATCTTTATAATAGATTTACCCAACATAAATCTAGATTAGTTGAATCAGACAATATCAAATAGCAAATAGTTAAACAAAAGAATTTTTTGTTATACTTCCTTTTGCGTGTGCTTGTAAGTATGTTCTTAAGTAAATAAAAAAAAGATTAACAATAGATTGATATTAAATAATCACAAAATCCAAAAAAAATTGAAATTGTCTATTCATTAACGTCAAGTAGAGGGAGATTTGCTCTTGATACTACTGCTCGAATAATTGCTACTGATTAACTTATTAACATAATGTTAAGAAGAACAGATAAGTCAGGAGACAAGATGGTACCACAACGCCATTGTAGTACTAATATTATTCTTATCTAACAAAGTTCTTTTGGCTTTCGACAGGATGCGAAGGTTTGATATGGTCATACAGATAGTATGCAATTGCCTGTTTCAACTTTTTCAACTTTCAAAGAGCGCAGCACATCGAGAAGGTGCGGTCGGATCAGAAGCGAATCTAGAATTTAAATTTTATGGGTTTAATAATTTTTTTATCCTTAAATTTTATATTCTTAAAATTACGGATTCTTATTTATTATAATTTTAATAAATTTTTACACATAAATTTATGTTTCGCTTTGAAAATAATGGGTTCCGTTGAATTTAGTGTCGGACGGCTACTTTGCAGGCACCACCACGTGGTGAATATTGCAAGGACGTGGCGCCGTGCATGGGCGCAAACGCTGACCCAGTTCCAACCCTTCCTTTAGATCTACTCCTCTTTTCTAATGAATTTCTAGAACACCATGCCGCCCACGAATTCGGCGCAGCAGTTCATCCCAAGTCCCAACCGTTCGAGAGTATCGGCTCAATACTTTAGGCATTTTGGATATTAGATTATTTTAAGTAGTTGACATTTAGGAAATTAAAAAAGTATAATTATTTTAATTATTGAAGCGTCGAGTGATCTTGTATGAACTTGGGAATACTCCTCTTAAAAGCTAGCTCTTGCATTGATTAAGTTCAATGTCTCATAATATTAAACCCATACAAACGACTTTTAGTTTACCATATAATAAAGTCTAATATTATATTGTTCATATTCTAGTTGACAGATCTGAACGAGGGGTGAATGTTAGGTTGTTTCACATCTGTTATGAAATTAATCTCCTTACGTATTCTGGAGTAATTCTGGAATAAGATCACCTTAAATGCAGGTTTTTGAAGTGAGGTAGATCTAAAGTTCATTTCTTCTCAAAAAAACAAAAGTTGATAAGAATTTAAAGAAAATATTTTGTAATTAAAACTATAAAATATCTGTCTCAAAAAGTACTAATTACAAAATATCTTTCTCAAAAGTATAAAAACCTTAAATTATTAAATATAGTGCATTATCTTTTTCTCATTTATTAGGGGCCGGCCTTTTTCCTGCCAATCTAGTCACCCATCAATGAAATATCAATGACTACGACTTTGTGAAGTGTGAACCATTAAAACCCAGGATTTGAACACTAGGCCCATCTCTTCAAACGGCATCCAACCAATAAAAGGAAAGGGAAGTATACGTAATAAAACAGACAAACAATAAGACAAGATGTCATGGTAGCTGTAATAGGGAAGATGTGGGCAGCATTTATCAAGTAAGAATCAGCCAAACAAGGGCGTCATTCCACATCTCCCATCTCACCTTCTCCTAATTTCCATCCATCATAAAAATAAAAAAAATAATCCGATACACAAAATATTTTATATTCATGTTAGATCTAAAAAAGGATCACATTATAAGAGATGTGAGATGAATAGTCTATACTAATATAAATATTACTAATAATTATTTCTTTCGCTCAAATCTATAATCTATAAATCACACTCAAAAATAGTTTTATTATCGCGCCAAAGGCTCCCCATCACTAAAAAATTAAATAGATCCCCGAAAATATCCCCACTTTTCTCTGTCCCCCTGGCTCCACTATAAATTCTGGCACCCTTTAAAGTTTCTTCCTCCATCAAATATAACCTGTACTATACAGTGTATAACAATCTACTCTTTGATTTCCTTAACTAGTTCCTTAAACACACACACTGCCGAATAAAGATCCCGACTAACAAAAGTAACAAGTCTACTTGTCTTTTTCATTTCCCTTTCTTTGCTAGTGTGTGTTATTCAAGTGGAATTTCCTCCCTAATTTCACCCCATGTCAAAACGACAAATATATCCTCCAAAAATTGTTACTCCTGTTCAACACTTGGATATGGAAGAGTGCAAAACTGACAGAAATGGTAACAAACGATCCCGAGATGAGTCGGGTTTGGACTCGGACTCCCATTCACCTGAGTCAAAGCGACTTCACTCAGATGAAAATGCAGGTCCGAGCTCGGACGAGCCGAACCGAGTTGAATCGGAATTAGAGGTGAACCCTAACTCTACCGAGTTCGATGAAGCTGGTGAAGATGTCGACGTAGATTCGCCGGAGGCCAAGCAGATCAGAGAAGACATCCTGGATATCCTAGATGAGCCAGAAAGTTTAACAGATGGTGTACCGGAATCTCAGGACCTTGATTCGGTAATCAAGAGCTTTGAAGAAGAAATCCTACATCCTACAAATCTGCCACCTCACGAGACGTTCGTTGACCTAACGTCATCAGATTCCGGCGAATCCCAATCAGACCTCGGCTACCTTCTAGAAGCTTCGGACGATGAACTCGGCCTACCTCCCGCCGCATCTCCCGATAACTATATTGACGCCGAATTAGTCGATACGTCAGGGACCGCCAATGGATCAGGGAATATGATTCGGTTTGAGAACGAGTTACCGAGATATGACTCGTTCAACTTGGAGATGTTTGTTGGAATCATGGACGGAGAAGACAACGGCGAGAGCAGTAACGGCGATTTTCTGACGGTGGGAGGATTATTCGATTACCCGGATCCGTCGAATTTTCCGGAGTTCTCAAGGGGGCCAGAGTCCTTACCGGCGATATAGACGGATGAGTCATTTTGGGAATCGGGAAGCAAAAAGAAAATAGTGGTAGTAGGAAGCAAGCAAAATTGCGAAAAAGTTAAACGTTAGAAGCCTGTATAATCGTTTCCTTTTCTTTTCAGTACGAGGCCATTACACTATTATGAGTTTATGCAGCTTTAAGGCTCTCCTGTTTGAACTATCTCGCGCAAAAGTTTTATAAAGTTTTCGAATCTATTTTGGTATTTTGAAGAATATTTGTGTTTCGAAGAGTTTTTTTCTTTATACTTTGTCCGTCAATTTAGATGATTTATTTCGTTTTTAAACGTTTGATCAACGTTTTAAAATATATTTAAATTTTAATGTTAAAATACTAAATTGAACTAATTTAATTTAGTATCAAAGTTTAGTCAAATTGATTCTCGATAAATGAAATGCGTTATCTAAATTATAGGGGTGTACAAACCGAATCGGAAAATCGCACTAAACCGATTAAAAAACCCGACTAGGTTTGGTTTGATTTGGTTTGGTATTGAGTAAAAAATCCGAATCAAACCGATATATAAATATATAATTTTTTATATATAATTTTAGGACTTTATATAGAATTTTATTTAAAAGATGTCTAGAAATATTTGAGATCCTCTCATGGGACATAATATTTAATAAAACTATAAAGTGCATTCATTTTTATTTATTTTAAATAATAGATTGTATCACTTTCTTATTATGTGTTATTGAAATGCGTCAATCATCTCTTTGTTCTTTCATATTCATATGTCAAGATTTATTATATGTTTTGAAGTGGTATTTTGATAATCTAAAATTACATAGAACATATCATTATTTAGGTATCATATTGATTTTTATGTTTAATTATTAAATTTGGTTAACCCTGAAAGCGTATATCAACCAAAAGTTATTGGTAGACGACTAAGAAAATAAATTATTATGTGTTACTAAAAAATAATTCTCCCATAAGATCACTTTAATAGATCATATGTTTGTTATTTTTTTTAAATTTTTAGTAAACATATATTCACTTATCAAAATTGTATCTATAACTTTAATAATGCAAAATTAAAATAATATTCATGTAACAAACAAACCCGAAAAATCTATCAAAATCGAACCAATCCAAACTGATATAATTGATTTGGTTTGGTTTTGATAATATCCGAACTAACCCGGTCCATGTACATCCCTACTAAATTGAGACATAGGGAATACTATTTTGTACATTAATCATGTTTGAAGCTAATTACTCATGTGTATCTTTCTACAAAATAGTTTAAGATAAAAGTAATCAAGTAAGTTTAAAGTATAAAAGAATAAGCGGAGATTGAACTTATGAAAAAATAGGTGGTGTTATAAAATCTTGAATTATGGCGGATGTCCATAACCGCCAAAGGAGTAATGCTCACTACTCTTCTCCATTATCTCTATAATCTCCCCCATGATCTTTCTCCATGATCTTCCTCTCAAATGCCTAATGACATATTAAATGATATATTTATGAAGTGACCATTCCTCTCAATAGTGGCCATTCCACTAAATAGTGGACATTCCACTCACTATTTTACAATAGTGATTCTTCACTTTTCATGCTTATATAAAGGCCTTGTAATAGATAGGAAATATAACACAATTGAAGAAGAAATAAGAAGTTCTCCTCTCTTTCTCTCTATATATCTCTTAGCTTGTTTTTTCTTGTTCTATATTGTTACTTTGAGCTATATTTTATAATACGTTATTAGCACGATTGTTCTCTGCGACAATCCTTCTCAACTTTTAGGAAATATGTCGCAACAAAGTTGATCTATTTTTGTATTACCATAGCGAAGTAACATTGTAGCTTCCAATGTGTAAGCATGTTGGGTTTCGTACAGTGAGACAAATGTTCTGTGGATTATCTTTTTTTTTTGTAAGTGGTTCATCATTCCAAGGTATGCTCCTAGGTATATAATTTTTGTTCTTACTTAAATACCAATTGGAAGGGTTAATATATGGCAATATAAATATCTTCCGGTCATATACGTATCATACTTGAACAACGTTTTCCATATAGCTACAACTCAAATATTTATTTCATTCATATTGGATGGTTCATAGTCATACATAAAGTATATCTATCTAGATGGTTTTTTATTACTTACAGTACTAAATTATTTTATGAAATAATAAAATATTTGTGGTTTATCATCTATCTTGAAGGATTTATCATGTAATAGTTCTTTAAGTTGAATGTCTTACATTAGAAAATATCCTTGATCTGTAACTTAGTTACACGACATATATGATTGCTAGAGTGATGTAATATTTTCAAATATTCTTCGGTAAGAGTTAGGTATGTAACCAATTTATTTTACTTTTATTTGACAAATGGGATATAGTTATATCATTATAATAATTTTGTAATCAACCAAACGTATGAATT